CAACAGTATCCGGTCATGTGACCTCTTTGTTCAATGCTGTATATATATATATATATCCGTGTCAGTGTAAATTACTTGTACCTGATGATGACAAAACCTTGTCGAAACGTTATACATTTGCTGTTATGTTACACTTATATTAAAGTTTTTCATCATTACCCATTCAAGCTGTCTCCAACCATTATTAGTCTCAAAGTGGGTTCCTCGTCATCGAATTTGAAAACAAAGTAGTGTTTCTTCACTTCCCGCCTTATAATAATATAAGCCTCGTGTGATTTGTCATTTATCTTTGAATTCCTTCTCATATGTTAAGATATAGTAATTTATTAATACAAATGTAAACACTGTAAGTTAGTAGCTAAAAAAAACAACAACAAAAAAGAATATTTTTACATTCAATATGACTAAAGAGAATGAACGGATAATAAAAAAATCAAATTATACCAAAGTAGCAGACAAACTTACATTTTATTACGTTACTTTACTGGATAGTATTTTTATTATGTCTCCACTTACATACATCTTTTACCAGATTCATATAATGCTCTCAAATGGTAATAAAGGCCTTTGGTTTGCCATCTAGTGGCATAGCTGTATGTCTAGAAACCGGGTTTTGATACCCGTTGTGGGCAGAGCACAAATATTCCATTGTGTAGCTTTGTGCTTACTTTCAAACAAATAAACCCCCGGTGGTACAGCGGTAAGTCTACGCACTTACAACGCTAACATCCGGGGTTCGATTCCCCGCGGTAAACACAGCAGATAGATCAGTGTGGGTCAGTTTGTTTTCTAACAATGTCCGGCTCTGTAGAAGTAAAACAGTAGACAAGATTGTTTATTATAGGTACTACATTAGACAAAAATCTACCTATGTATAACAATGTTCTGAAAGTTAATGCTAATAATGAAAAGGTAACTAAATCAAGAGTAATTGTTACGGTAAATTAAGTGCACATCGTTGCACTATAGAAATGATGTTGACTGCTCTATAATACTCAATAAGCAATATATTATGTTCAGAGCAAAAGAAACAAACCATTTCAGGCAAAACTAATAACCTCCCTCATACCTATGTATTGGGATAAAAAAGTTAGAAAAAACAACCTTTAAACTCTAGGTAGTTAAAAGAGAACTTTTCACAAAGACGAAACGTTGGTTAAAATAAAAGTTATATTTTAATTATCTGGGATGTAAAGGTCGTTTTTCTTTTCTAACGTTATTATCAAAATGTGTAAATCCCCTCATTATGTACTATAAATTTTGAAAGACTACATGTTGTGAATTGTTTCTTATCTAGTTAAAACAATATAATAAAACAAGTAAAAAATTTAAGAACCCTAGATTACTGATGATGAAATTATGATGATTCCGAAACATTTAATAAATGCTTCTTATTATCACGTTCATGTTTTGCTTTATCATTAATGTAAACAACTTTTTACAACAATAGTATATTAGGTATTTCAATCATTGGCTATCATATACGCCCTCCAGTAGCACAGCGGTATGTCTGCGGACTTATAGCGCTAGAAACCGGGTTTCGATACCCGTGGTGGGAAGAACACAGAAAGCCCAGTGTGTAGCTCTGTGCTTAACATGAAACAAATAATCAATCTATCATATACGTACGTGTATGCACTACTTAAATAACATTTAAGGATGTTCCATTCTTCTGAAATGCTTTCTATAAATAACTTACATTCAGTTTCAATGTTGATAGCAATGTCATAATGATTATGTATTAATGCTAGAGCAATCAGTCTTTCTTCGGCGAGGAGCAGATGACGAACGTTCACATGAGCATGCAATTAGTGTCAGTGTGGCAAAGAGTTTCAGTAACACAAATATAGTTGGTACACTGAAGCACGCTATAGCCTGTCTGATATCAGAGATATAAACTCTTGTGTGAGTTTTGATGGCATAAATTTCTGAATTAATGCTGCTTGTTTTACATGTTTATCGAATCTGGAGGAAAGATTACTGATTACATGGTAAAGGGATGTTTACTGTTTTCTTAAAGTAATCCTCCACGGAAATATATTTTGCATTTGCATGTTGTACGTTCAATTGTTATGAGTTAGCGATTGTTATATTGTTACTTCATTATACTAGAGTTTTCTGAATTTTTCTCTTTGTTTTAATTGAGTATTATTGCATCAGAGTATATAGTATTGCGTGGAATGAGTTAGACTCCTGTTGGGGATATAAATATGCGTCGACAGATTATTATTTAGATCTAGATTATGTGATTGTGAGTTTAGCGATAAAGTGCGTGTAGCGATATTTTTAAAGTGAAATTATCTCAGACTGTATTGTAATAACAGGGTATATAAGAAGAATTTGTCTAGTCAGTTGTGTTCTAAAGTAATTGAACCAATCTGTGTGGACTTTCACGAAAAAGAGAGTTATTCAAAGCTCTGGATACAACTGTGGTAACCAACTGTGTGACAAACATTTGTATATACAAATGTACGTTTGACTTGTTTTAATATATTAAATTGGACTTTGTTGCTGTTTCTTTATTGTTGAAATTTATCGCCAATAAGTCACAGACACCTACTGTAAAGAATCCGCCCTATAAAACCAGATAGTAGAAATACGGCTTCGACTTCCAATTACAATATGTCAAAATAAGTCATTGCATGCAACTATTTCAAGCCAAAAAATGCTAATGCTTCATCAGAAGAATGTAGACTATGTAGAAAATGTTAAATAACATAATCAGCTGCGCTATAACCATATAAGCATAATTTTTGTAAACCATATAACTAGGGGTTCGTCAGAAC